TGATTTTGAAGTTGAAAAGCAGGTTTGGTGACTGCATGGGAAATTGTTGAAGCATTCTTCTGACATCATCGGATAACATGGGAGCTTTTTTCACGCTTTTTAGGGATCAGGTGGTGAACTTGCAAGCGCTGCCCCGGGAGGAGGCAGACCCAACCATCGCGCTGCTCTGTCCCGTTCGCGCTCTGCGCATTTACGTGGACCGTACGCAGAGCTTCAGGACCTCAGACCAGCTCTTTGTCTGCTTTGGAGGACAGCAGAAGGGAAAGGCTGTCTCCAAACAAAGACTTGCCCACTGGTTAGTGGAGGCTATAGTCTTAGCTTACCAGGCCCAACGGTTACCGTGCCCCCTCTGAGTGAGAGCTCACTCTACGAGAGGAGTGGCATCTTCTTGGGCATTGGCGCGGGGCGCCTTGATAGCAGACATCTGTAGAGCTGCCGGCTGGGCGACACCTAACAAGTTTGCGAGATTCTATAATCTCCATGTAGAGCCCGTGTCCTCTCGTGTACTCACCTCAGGTAGGCAGTAACACCGGACCCGCTCTGTGTCAATCACGCTTGCTGCGCCTTTCACCTCTAAGGACCGGATACGTGCGCTTTTCTGCTTCTCAGTTCAGTTCCCCATGGCGAACCCTGTTGAAGTTCCTCCTGCACCCTCGGCGGTCAGGCGTGGCGGAGCGCCAGATGCCAGGCTCAGCACTCGTGTGCATGCCCAAGGTCAGCCCTTGTGCTGGGCTAGGTGCCCGTGTATAGTGATTCCCCCTTCAGGCGATCCCACATGTGTACTCTTCCACGGTACGGCTCCCCTCACGGTAAGCCCGTGTCTTTCTTTTGTGTAGTCGTCTCACCCCAGGCGGATTGATAACGCCTCCTTTCCCTCCTTCAGGGAACAAGGGTTACACAAGTAACCGAGACGTTTTACAGTTGCATTTCATATAAAAATGGCTGCTTGTGATGGTCAGTCTTGTGTGTGCTTTTTGGGTGTTGTTTGTTAAAGGTAAAGTGTGCAGTTTATCTCCGGGCCAGTCTGTGTGTATCCGCGCACTTCACACATGCTTATGTGTTACAGAGTATTAGTGAGGTATTATAACATGACACATTTGGCTTGGCAGCTGTCAGATATTAGCTTTAGAAGGAGGTGATTATCTCACTGTATTAAAGGCTGTTCATCCATGCTTAGGAATCTCATTGTAGATGTGTGTGTGTGTGTGTGTGTGTGTGTGTGTGTGTGTGTGTGTGTGTGTGTGTACAGGTTTAAATGGTTTATAAAAATGTGAACACTAAAATCTTTTTTTTTTGAAAATCTAAATATGCAGAGAGTTTTATGTGATGGATATGTTTAGTGTAAGGGGATAGAAAATACAGTTTGTACAGTATAAAAACCATATGCCTATGGAGAGTCCCTGTAAACCACATATTCAAATGTGTGTGAGTGGTGGTGAAAACTAAAAATATAATGTTAGAAGCCTAATGTAAGGAACAGAATAAATCCTTTTGTGGGAGACGTTGAGCTTTGTAACTCTGCAGATCTTATACATGCACAAATAGCTACATAACGCTCTAAAGATAAGGAAAAATAGAAATCGCATCATATGACCCCTTTAAACCCCTCGCAGAAGTATGCTTGTCAATGCCGGTATCAATTGTTGTTGCCATTTCCAGTAGTTTGTCGTTGTTCTGTCTCATCCATTTCTTTTTTTCGACTGTGAAACAATGGGCCAGGGTAGTCTTGCCACATTGTGGAAAAAAACAAATTAGCCCCCTCAAAAAATTTGAGGCCCATGTGCAAGCTAAGCGTACAAAGAACACATGGTTAGAAAAATTTACCTGTGGGCATCCAGCATGCACATATGATTACATTACATTTACATAACATGCACTGTATGTAAAAACTAAAGTATACTTTGGCCGATACTTTAGCAATGTGCTAAAAACACCTTAGCAACCACATAGCAATGCCCTAGCAACCATCCACGACACCTTAGAATTGTAACACGTTGACATTTTGTATGGGCAAGTGTAACGGAGGCCGGCTGTTAAGAGCTGAGCAGGTAAACCTCACTCCCCTGATCTCAAGAGACGCACTAGCGACTTACTTTAGAGGCTGCAATCTTTAGCGTACTTGTTAGTGCACCCATGCCGGCGACCCAGGTTCAAGTCCCAGGGGGAGGGGTTACATAGGCACTGTTCACATTTGCTTCAGAAGAATATTTAGACATGACGTATTGCCTAAAGGCCCACTCCCACCTCCACATGAATGTTCGGCAGGAAAATCCAGTATGGTTAAATGAGAACTGTCTCTTCAGACCAATGCAAATAAAATGGCATATGGCTGGAAGAAAATGCAATTTTACTCTCTGGCAGTAGGTGGCAATTATGGAAAAGCAGAAATGCAGCAGTACACAAAGACAGCAGTATATTATGTTATTTGCTTATCAAGATGCTGATATGCCCTGTTAAGGCCCCGATATACTTCAAATAAAGTTCGTTTTCGTTCTTCATTTGGGGGCAAAAAGAAGTTCCAAAAGGCTGAGCGACGGTATACTGTTTCCGAACATTCCGTAGATTAATGTAAATATGTGTCGCGCTGCTCACGCATATCCCCTGAAGACAACAACGATGAAATGATGAAGTGTAGGCAATCTAGGTGTGAGACGGGCACCAATGGTCAGAATATTATTGACAAAAGTATAATGATTAGCAGCAGTACAGAGTCAAGTATCATGTTTGCAATACAAAAGAACCATACAATTTCCATAATCAGTCCTTTATGGGAAGTGAATGGCTCATAGTCTGAGAACTTTAGCATGATGTGGAAAAAAATATTGGAGTAAGTTTGTTACTTTATTTTATTAGTGTTCATTTATTTTATTAAACTGGATAAATTGTTACACCTTTTTTATATTTTATGTGGTGTCATGATTTACTTTTGATAAAAACAAAGATTTATTATTGTTTGTTCATTTGGCATTTCATTTATTGTATACCCTTTAAATTCGCTTATTGAAAGAACAACAACAGCAGCAGCAGTATGATGTAGCATTTATTTGAAACCCATGTATTTGGTACCTGATGCCTTATATCTTTAATTCCTTTCATTCTTTTCATGGCTTTGGAAAACTTGTCTCAGATGTTTCTCTGCGTTGCTTTTGCATAACTCCGAGTCGTCGACACCAAGCTTCGTTGCAATTTCTTTCTAGGAATTAAATGCTTTCTCTGAATCTTTAAAGTCTCTCCGCGAGCAATTGTACAGGTGCGGATATATTTGTGCCAGCTCAGCTATTCGACAGTGTATTTATGTTGCTAGTGACTAGGAGATGTTGTTCTCCTTTCTGACCTCCATTGAATGAGAAACGAACCGGGGGGAAAAATCACACATCTAAGAAGGTGGAGTTCCAGAACACACCCACCGATTGCATAACCGCCACGGACCAATGGAAGCTCAAAGGTGTTTAGGAGTCTAAATGAACTCCCCCAGAAAGTTTGCTTTGGTCAGCTGTTTCGAACTACCTAAACGAACTCAAAACGAACTTTGTTTCGGCCTGATTTTGTTCGAAATGATGTCATATCAGTTCGTTCTTCAATTTCGTTTGAAGTATATCGAGGCCTTTAGTATTGTTTTTTGTTTTTATTTTATTTTCTATTAATATTCTTATGTTTGCTTCTGTATTTTATGTGCTATGACTGATATTTGATATAATTGCCTTGTGTTTTCAGTATTCAAAATGTTGCAATAAAAACACACACACACTTAATATTTCTGACATCTGCTTGTCACAGCGAAGTCTAACAACATTTACACATTTTCAAACAGCCGTTCAGATTTTTTTCACCTCTCTGTAGAAAATCTGTCGCATTGATGGCATTCAAAAGTTCTTGTCTGTCTGAACAGATGTATTAACTGCCATCATTCAAATAAAATGTTTATCGCACCAAACTTTCACACCAAACAGCCATCTTGGTTTGAATAGGCTTTAATAAATAGAGATTGTTTTAGTGTTGGTAGAATTGTGTCCAAATATTTATATGCAGACCTGAGCTACAAAGAGTATGTGTGCAAATAAAATAAGACATGTTGGATGATTTACTCTGAGATTGAGAGTAGGAGAATCTCTGTTTAATGTCATCTCATGATTTCCGACACTGAACAGACGGGAAACAGGATATTAACAGTCTGAACTGCTCTAGAAATGAGCATTCATTTAGTACATAACATTTCTGTTTGTTTCATGGTGAGAACAACTTGTAAAGAATCAGATCCGACTTGTATGTTTCTTAGTGTCACTTACTGTAATACTCTGACACTCACATCACATTACAAGATGAGTGTGAGTCGTCCTCTTTTCTCAAATCTTCTCAGCCATTCTCCTTCTCTTGCTGTTTCTGTATATATTTCTCTAATTTCTTAAATACACAACCATGGATATGATTACAGTAATGGAGCAAATGAGTGTTTCACATTTAAAATAAAGAGGAACAGATTAAATGCAGTGTAGTGCAGATGCTGTATTAAATTCGCCATGGGCATCAGATATAGCACATCTTAAACAGCATTAAAATTTCAGAGCCTCAACCCACATGCTAATATACTGTACATATCTGAACAGAATTACTAATCCTCTCCAATGCTAAACAGACATACAGAATGTGTGTATGTAAACGTTTGGCTATTCTTGATCATCACTATATAGTAAAACCAATTTGTAATGACATTTGAAATAGTCTTCACTACTTGAAAGGTCCATTAATCGTATTTTGAATCATATTCATGAAGCAAGTTTGATTAAATCAATAGGTTTGTGTGAGAGTTAGGGTATAGAGTGTAGTAAAATCACTATCTTAGAATGAATAGCTTCAGAGGTCTGTGTGTGCATGAATGTAAGGAAGAAAGTGTCTGTTTTTATTTTTAATATATATTACTCATAAGAATTAATTTATGTTAAATTGCTATGATAAATCTTTTGATATGTGAGATTTAATCCATGCTTCTTTCTTTTTCTCAGCAGACATTTCTAGGCTTGCTTCCCCTGATTTTAGCGGCGTAAATAACTTCAGCACCTTCCTGTTGGACCGTGAGTCTGGGATGCTCTACCTTGGTGCGCGGGATGCGGTCATCGCTGTGGATACTGCTAATCTATCAAAGAGGAAGATGGTGAGCTCTCTTTTTTCTTGCAGTGAATGTTCCACTTTTCTTAATTGTCTATCTTTATTATTTATATAATAACACTTTATGGTTACATTTGTTAACATAGTTAATTACATTAATTATGAACTAACAATGAATTACAGCATTTATTAATCTAGAGAATGGAGTGCTGCAGGAATGATTCCTAAAACCCAAAAATGTCTTAGTATTTCTGCATTTACGTTTCCACTGTCCCTATGTCAGTGATTTTTTTAAATGGGTTTTTTGGTTAAATCAATCAAGATATTTTCACCTTTTATTCTATGATACAATGTGTGTTAATAGCATTAAATGGCAAAAAGGAAAACTACTTAATCTACTTACTAGTTTGCTGTTTTTCTCAAGCTTTATTTTATTGGGTTTATGCTCTCACTCTTGCAAACTAATTCAAACCTTCCAATCTGTAGATTTTAAATAAAGACCAAAAGAGTTGTCAGAAGCTTAATGGCAGTGATGTCAAAGTCAACCGTTTTGTCATTTGTTTTAAAGCCTAACTTTAGCTTTTTACTTCTGTTGATTGTATTTAGGTTTCAAAATTAATGCAGACCTCTTTTCATTTACATATATTAATCCTAACTAATTTGTTTCTAACATTTTAAGTTATAATCTAAAAGTATAAATTAACAGTACCTGTATTATGAACAAAAGTAAATGAATACATTTATAAATCTATTCATTGTTAGCTCATGATGCCTATGCATTCAATAATGTTAATACATTTTAGCCTTATTGTCAAGTGTTACCATTTACGCTAATTGTAGAGTACAGCAGAGGCAATTGACCCTTCGCAAAGAACCGCTCCCCCTTCATTATTGTTGCTACATCCGACAAGCCATCCGCTCTCACGCCACACCTCATGTTCTCACGCAGTGAAAAATTGACACTGGCAATACACCGACAGACAAGACAGAGCAGGTTACTTTTGGTATGAAACAAAGTGTCAGCTTTCAAATTTCGTCTCTTTTTTTGTCTCTCTTTAATATTTTGTTATGGATCGCTGTAGCGCCTCAGTTCAAGCAGCACATGAAATGATCATCTCTTTCTCTTTACTAGTTATAGCACAAAATAAACATGAATGAACATCAGAAGGTATCTTGTTTTAACCGTGGAAATATACTTCAATGCACACCATTTATCAAGTTCAAGTCCACCGACGCTAATCTGACAAATTGGAAGATTTAGCTTTATGATTGGTCAGATCAAATGATGAAATCAGTTAAATCATTACATAAAATGCTTTGTGCCACATAATAACATCCAATCTGCACACCAACACGCTCACATACAGTCATCATAACAGACAGCCAAACAGGTTTCAGTACACTGCTTCTCATCAAGCTAAACTAGAAGATCTCATCTCTGGTTGCTAGTGCAGCTCTCTAACCAAATTAACCCTCCCCAACGTCCCTCCCATTTCCTCCAGTAGCCACCTCTCACTGTCTCCTGTCATCAGAGTTAAAATTCATCACACACTGTAATGTGGCTTCACGTCCGTTTACCCTCAAGCACACATGAGTGTGTCAGAGCCCAGGACATGCTTGCAACGAACCTCCATCTGCACTATTCATTGTCTGGAAGCAAAATTACTTAGTGAAGTGTCATGTAATATTAGATATTAAGATTAAGGAGAGCTACTGTGAGAGCTACGGTGAGATCATTGCACTGATATAATGATAACTTATTTTCTGTACTTAAATGTACAGTCTTGTCCCTAGGCAAAGTGTTTTTAAATTTTTGGGGTTAGAATTTCTCTGTAAAATATTTTTAGCCCACTGAAAACATACACACATTATTTTAACCTCATTTCTATGTAAAGAATAATGTACAGACCTCCAGGCAATAAAATAAAAACCAAACAATTCAATAAGAAAAGATGATCGGGTCTTGTATCATCCTAAATGGGTGTAATTTTCCAAATAAAAAAATAATTAAATGGACTTGAAATATTGATTTGGTTTAAAATTATTTGATTATGTGAATAGAAAAACCACAGGGTGCTGCGACAGATGTGGAAATACCAGTGTAGAATCTCAATATACACAATTTTTACACAGCTCTCTGGAATACTTGATTCTGATTAATCAGTCACGGCATTGTGTGGTCAAATATTTTTGTATAGTGATTCTATTTATCTTTATAAACTGAATATTTGACTGTTTTCTCTGACAACCAGTCTCCATGTAATCTGGAATTTCTTCATGAGTGTAAAAGATTTCTGCACACAGATTTTGCTACAGGTTCTAGCTGGTCACACAAATGCCATGTTGACTAACAGAAAGTGGCTAGATTTTGAAAGTGACTTCTGGGTGAGCCGTGAATAGGTACTTTGACAATGAAGAATTAACCTTTTTAACTGCAAAATTTTGCCCAAATTTCACAAATGTGAGTGCAACTTATAACAGTGGTTCTCAACCTTTTTGACTTGAATGCCTGCTATTACAAGCCTAACAACACAATATTTGAATGAAAAAAAGATATGTCAGTTTACATCTTCATGTTTTAGCATTTTAATTAAAATAAGAGTTATATTATTTTTAAATATTTATAATAATTGAATAATTTATATACGTTTAAGTTATCCTGCAACCCTGTTAAAAACCACTGGTGTATAAGACTATACTATACTCTCTTGAAGCCATGTTATAGCTTTGTCTGAGGAACATGCTGAAATTTGAGTCACCATTTACTGAGAATTCATACTTATGTCACATGTTTTTTTGTGAGAACTGTCCCTTGAAATCTGTTGTTTAATGTTGTGTAAATGACCACAAATGTTATTTTCAGATTCTGGCTGAATGTATTAATATATTTGATCACTAAATAAGTAAATAACATTTACAGGTACTGAATACACAATTTTTAATGTGTTATAATCCTCTGCATTTAACTGGTCAAATATGTTTTACATATTAATGACTGACATGGTTTCATTTTAACCTAACACTCTGAAGTACTGATCTCTCTCTCTCTCTCTCTCTCTCTCTCTCTCTCTCTCTCTCTCTCTC